CCTGAGTACCCTGAACTCAGAGTCCCTGTGGCTTGACTGCTGTAAAGCTCAAAGATCCAGTCTTCTTTAAGGTAGAGGGCTGGCATACCCTCAGGTGCAAGCCGTGAGGGGTAGTGTTTAAAGGTTTAATTTCTTTTCATGAAGATTATGTTTCCTTTACTGTGTGAATCTGCGCCGCCTCTTTACCACCAGTTTACGTCTATATTTCTCAGGTTTCTACATCAGACACCATGTGTTTTCCAGCTTCTAAAATTTTATTTTTCTTGTCTCCTCTCACGTTTTCTTTGTACTTGTGGGTTTATGCCTGTTTCATCCCTTACTGTTACTGTAGTGGACCTTCAATAGAAAGGCAATGTAACTATGTGTGTTCAATATTTCTTGTTTTGCATGACCCCACTACAATTTTAAATTAGGAAAGTAGACCTACCTCTGAAAATAAAAGTTCTAGAATTCCTCTCTCACATCGGAATCAAAGGAAAGTTTTATCATTGATTTATAATTGGTGAGATTTAGACTACAAGATACTTAGTGCTCAATATATGTATACTGTTTTTATTATTGCTATAATTATTAACTAGAACTTAAAGTTCTCCAACTTTGTTCCTTGGTGAATTAGACAGGATTTATAGACAGCCATTAACTCCTGTTAATGTGTGTAGAAATTAATATAAAAATATACTAGGGCTTCTACTTCATACAACAGTAAAGTGTTCTCAGACCAACTTTTCTGCTAGAAACAACTAGAACATTTAAACTCAATATTTTTTTTTAAAAAATCTGTTTGTAAATTTTAGGAAATTTTCAAGGCAAGTTGGATTTGTGGGTTAAATTTCTGGGAGCGGGGAGCCAGGCTTTTGCCAGTATTTTTAAACTGTAAATTCTTAGGCACCTAAGAGGCTGAGAAGGTAAGCAGCTTTGGTAGACTGGTCTTGGGGAAAAAACTTGAATTCTGGAGTCTTTTTAGAAGGCATATGATGGTCTCTAATTGTGGTTTAAATTTCCATTTTCTTTATGATTGATGATGTTGAGTACTTTGTTATGACTGACTACTCACCTCTCTTCCATTTTTGAAGCATCTGTTCGATTTTTTGCCTCTTTACTAATTGGGTTGTTTGCTATTTTATTACTGAGCTAGGGTTTGCTCATACATTGTAGAAACAAGTCCTTTGTTAGATATATGTGTTCTGAAAAATTTTTTTCAAATCTGCAGCTGGCTTATTTATTTTCTTAATAGTCTTCTTTTTTTCTTTTTGATGAGCAGAAGTTCCAATTTTGATGAAGTTTAATTTACCTATTTTTTAAAAATCTTTGATGGTTCATATTGGCTTATGTTGAGGTTATGAAGATATTGTCCTGTATTTTCTTTTAGAAGGTTTATAGCGCTGCTTTAATGTTAAAGTTTAGTTTCAAATATTTTTAGTTTTAAAGTTAAAATTCAGTTAGACCTAATGTTCATGTTTGGTGTGAAGTAAGGGTCAAGGTACTTTTTTTTATATGAATATCCATCCAACTGTTCCATCATCATTTTTTTTTTTTTTTTTTTTTTTTTTTTTTGCGGTATGCGGGCCTCTCACTGTTGTGGCCTCTCCCGCCGCGGAGCACAGGCTCCGGACGCGCAGGCTCAGCGGCCATGGCTCACGGGCCCAGCCGCTCCGCGGCATGTGGGATCTTCCCAAACTGGGGCACGAACCCGCATCCCCTGCATTGGCAGGCGGACTCTCAACCACTGCGCCACCAGGGAAGCCCCCATCATCATTTTTTGAAAAGACGTTTCTTACCTCATTGAATTGCTTTTGTCCCTGTTGACCATAAGTGTGTGGATCTCTATCTATATTCCTATTTCCCATTGTTCCGTTGTGTAGCCCTTAGTCAGCATGTCACTATCTTGATTCACTTGATCTTTAGCAACTCTTGAAGTCAGGTCATGTAAATTCTTCTGATGTGTTCTCCCTTTTCAGGGTTGTTTGGGGTATTGTAAGTCTTTTTTATTTTTATGTAAGGTTTAGAATCAGCCATGTTAATATTTAAAACAAAGCTACTGGTATTTTTATTGAGATTGTATCTGTTATATAGAACAATCTGTGGAGAATTTACATTTTAATGATATTGAATCTTCCAATTCATGAACATAATACATCTTTTCATTTATATAGGTTTTCTATAATTTTTCTTGGTGAAGTTTTATATTTTTTGCACAGAGGTGTTGTCCAACTCTTGATAAATTTATCTTATATATTTAGGTTTTTGGATGTTATTGTAAATGATATGTTTCATTTTCTAATTGTTCTTCACTAGTATGTAAAACTGCAACTGACTTTTTAATCTGACCATATCACTAAATACATATACTTATGTATATTTATATATAAACGTATGTCTTAATATTTATACATTATATAATTTCTAATATAAAACATATAACCTATATGTTATATAAGATCTAATTATATAGTTATATAAGTTCTAATATAAGATATAATACATATGATATATGTTCTAATAATAAGATATAGATAACATATCAGTTACATAAGTTCTAATACGTATATACATAATGTAAATTCTTACATATATATGAAATATGTATACATATACGTTCCAATTCTTTTTGATGATTCAATAGAATTTTCTGATGGTACAAACATATCATTTGTAAGTAAAGATAGTTTTAATAACTCTTTTCTTATACGTATGACAACCCATCACTGCTTCTTTGTGGACAGACAGAGCACCTTTCAGTGCTACCACCCCTGCCACACACCCCTTTCTTCAATTACTGCTGTTGCTGCTGCCTCTCATCAGCATGGATTCTGTGAAGCCCCTTTTTTCTTGGGTCACTAGCATCTGATTAATCATCTGGGCTTGTGCTTCTGATTGGTAGAGGCTGGGTCATGTGCAAACCCTATTTTCAAGTCAGGCTAGTAAAGGAAGGTATCTGGCCTTTCATCTGTTATTGTGCTTTATAAAGTCTGGCTTTCAGGATTTAGGAAGATGTTTCAGATGCTGCCCAAAATGAATGACAGGTACCACACACCCACCCCACTTGTGTGTACGTCTTTGAGCTCATGTTTCCAACAAGATTTACCAGTAGACATAGGTAAATGTCCATATACCTGAGCTGTATGAAATGGTTTAGCAGTCATTTACTCCAATAAGGATTAACAGAGTCACAAGCATCCCTCATTCTAAAATATAGTTAGGTTTTGGAAGTCCTTGCCTTGTTCCTGGTACTTAACCCCTTCTCTGAATGGTGTATGAATTTTTGCCACTTAAAAAGGTATTTTTACCATTTTATGCTATACTAGAAAATCTTGAAATGCTTAGTATCCATGTTGTGGTAAGTTTTTTTGTTTGTTTGTTTCTTTCTTTCTGAATTTTATTCTCATTTAATATATAACAGAGAACAGTTATCATGGTTTGCAAATCAAGATATTTACATTCTTTAGCAAACCTAACATTCTATCCTTTAATTCAATAGGTATACATTTCCACTTACATTTCAACATCTTTAAAGTCTGTTTCCATTTTACAGTGAATAGAACACGTTAGCTAGATTGGCAGCATTTTTTTCCTTTTAGTGATGTGCAGAGTAGTTTTGCATCTTATAAATATCTTAGAATTTTTGAAATATAATACTTATTTTTAAATATAAAAATAACAATGAGTTACAGATTAAGGTCATTGCATAATTATGTCTCCTAGTTGTCAATGTCTTTGGTTGATATTATAGACTTCAGACATCAAGACTCTCCAGGAAATTATACAAACCCAACACAAACCCTCATTTCCACTCCTCTATTTTTACAGCTGTGTCATTCTTCTCTGTTTATCTCAAAACGGCACCTGCAGCCTCTTCTGTAGTCTCCTGGTGGTGGGTGAATTATACAAGGGAATCCTCAGGCCAGGCATGGACCTCTGCCATCCTGCTTTCCTGAGCTCCCTAGCACAGAGCCAATAGTGTCTTTTTCCTCATTTGATTAGTTCAAAGAGTGGTTACCCTATGAAACTACATCTCCGATTTAAACAAATACACCATTATACCCATGATAATAATGCCATTTATGTCTTTGCATCCCCTATCAGGAAAATTCCCTTATTTTGCACTAATTTTTCCTTTCCCATACTGCTTAAGGATTAATCAAAACAATGGCTTATATATTTGTGTAGTGACCTACAGCTTTTGATACACCTTTGTGTGTATCATCTCACTTTCACAACGAATGTGTCTTTTCTTTTTTTTTAATTTTCATTGGAGTATAGTTGATTTACAATGTTGTGTTAGTTTCAGGTGTACAGCAAAGTGAATCAGTTATACATATACATATATCCAGCTGACTTACAACATTATGTAAGTTTCAGATGTGCAACATAGTGATTCACAGTTTTTAAAGATTATACGCCATTTATAATTATTATAAAATATTGGCTATATTTCTGTCTTGTACAGTATATCCTTATAGCTTATTTTATGCATAGTCGTTTGTAGCTCTTAACCCCTATCCCTAACAAATGTGTGTCTTATGACAGGGTGATTATCCTTATTTTATAGATAAGAAAACAGCGTTTGACTAAGCTCACATAACAGTGGATGGTAGATTCCAAATTATAATTGATTTCCAGACCTCTGAATTAGTTATTTCTTCTTATCCACTCTGTCCTTTAATATTCAGACTCTGAATGTCTGAATTCCTTCTCTTCTGTTATTTTGAATTTCCATTTAATGATCTTGTAATACAAATTTGAACAAACAATAGCACTTTTTAGTGTTTTCTAGCTATATAACAAAAATTGGTAGAATTTATATCTGATATCCAGTATTTTTATTAATGATTAATTCATCTTTAAGCTTGAGAAATGATCCCAAAATCAATTGCTTTGAGGAGGGGAGGGATTTAGTAGTATTTGTTTTTGACAGAAAATAAATTTTAAAGAATATGCCTTATTCTAGCATTGATCTTACTCACCTATAATCTTTTTTTCAACACCTCTTTTATTTCTAGTTATGTTTCGCCTCTATGACACGGATGGAAATGGCTTCCTGGACAGCTCGGTAATTTTTTTCTTCAAATTTTCTGTGAAAATTTCAAAGTAGTTTGTTCTGAAAAATGCAATGAATAAATTTATAGCTATTACCACAGAAGATACAATATAATTTCCATGCACTCACACAGCATTTTTATCGTCTGACTTTTTGAAAGCAAGTGATCTGAGGAAACTGTTAGGATTACAGTTGTTCTATTGAATAATTTTACTACAAAAAAGTGACTTTTTATGTACAGAAAGATAAAAAAGACTTCAACCCTGTCTGAATAAAATATAAGAGAAAGATGAGACCATTGATCTAAAAAGAAAAAAAATGTGTGTGTGTGTATATATATATATATATATATATATATATACATATATAGGAAAATATCAAGAATACAGGTAGAATTTAAAGGAATTACGAAGTTGATTCAATCATTTTATTATTTTCCCACTTTTTAAGTACTGTTACTCACATATGTTGATGAAATGGGTAATTATATTTAAAACTGCTTTGGCAAACTTCCCTTCTCATCTGATTTTAAATCCAGCTTGCACTCTATCTATAATTTTACTCATAAAAATGAATAGAAGAAAAATACCATCTCACAGAAAGTAATAATTAAATGTTTATTTTATTTGTAGTATATGCAAATCATTGACAGTTTTCAGAGGAGAAGTTAGACTCTTAGTTCTCAAATCAGGGCCTCCTGAATATATCCATCTCAGTTTCCACCAATGATGTATTTTCTATTTAACATTTTGTATATTATATCATGTCCTGTTCTATGAAGGTAATATAAGAATATTAAGCAAAGAGTAAGTGTCACATTATGGAAATTTTGAAGTACATAGGTACATGTAAAAACAAATGTTTTGATATATTTAATATTGATTAAAATAAACATTATTTCTGATAATGAGTTTCTCTCATCATCTGATATGTCTCTCTATGGCAGAACTCAAACAGACTGTTACAAGCAAAGCAGTGAAGTTAGAGACATATTTATGTAACACTGAGTAGGATAATGGTGCATTCGTTTCTCCAGAGAGAGATACAAATATATAATTCTTACTCTAGGAAATGACCACCAATCTGAATTGATGCTGTGATTGTGGGATTTCTTATGTTAGGGTCTTTCTAATTTTTCAAATGCTGTTATTTTTAAGTGCCTAGTAGTGTTCAGTTTTCCACTTAGGAATATTAAGCAACATGATACATTTGCTCATTTTCTGGTAGCATTTCACAGCTAGAAGTTTAGATTTCTACTACATATGTCAATATGCTTATTGTAGCGTTTCTGACTACACTAATGCAAATTATATTTTTAATGCAGATTTGTTTTCTTTTTCTTTTTAATTAAATTAAAACAATGTTTCTTTACTAGGCTCTTAGCCATGGGTTGGCAGCTGAGTAGAAAATTTAGTCAAATGCTGTTCTTGGTCTCTGGCCATTTCTTGGTTAACATATAGTAGATTACTAGCAATATTTATAACTATATTCCCAACATTAAACAATGAGCTGAGGATAAATAAGTTTGTTTATGATTAAATTAGTCTTTTTTAAAATAAAGGTCTGGATTTAATTTCTGTGATTTTCTCCATATAACTTACTACCCCAGGATATTTCCTTCATTGTCAGGTAGGAAGCGCACCTTCTGATATCATTTGTCTTTGAAATTTAAAGGCTATGTTCATATACTGGAGACACAACAGAAGAAAATTAATACTTTGAGAAATGACCAGTATGTCTAATAATGCTAGTTAATGTTTATTGATCACTTGTGCCAGATAAGATAAATGTATTTCATAGAACAGCATATTTAATCTTGGTAGCAACTCTGTGAACTAGGTACTATTAGAATACCCATTTTACTGTTGAGGAAACTTAGAGAGGTTAGATGACTTATCTAGTACCACATGTGTACACAATAGTCCACCAAAAATAGTTTCTGTTCCTCCAAACATATCCAGAGACTTTAACGGTTCCAAACCATTAAGGCATATATAAGCAAAGATAAAGTAACTGGAAGATTAGTTACACACACACACACACATACACACACACACACACACACACAATTCTAGCCTCTAATTGCAAGGGATTAGTGTTTAAAATTTTTCACATCTGTAATAAACACATTTATATTTGCATTGTTTCTGGGATGACCTGTGTTATATAACATTTTCATGATTTCATATATATATTTTTGGAGAGAGAGAGTGTAGCTTTCATCAGCTTCTCAGAGGGATCCATGAATCCCCCCCAAAAAAAACCCCTCTTTTACTATATTTTCTTCTTCATTTTATGCATACCACGTACATTAGATCAGAGGTTTTAGTAGAATAAATTTTATTAATATACTTTCAAGCCTTATTCTTTATATTTCTTATATTTTACATTATCGTACTATGAAATACCGCTTTTAATTGTCATGGACGGACTACTCTTAAAATTATTGGCATTCACAAAGTATGTTTAATCTTTTCTGAAGATACAGAAAAATTAAAACATTAAATGAATCGGTATGAAAAAATGTTATAATTTATTTAGCCAAGGCATGTATATTAACCAGCAGTTCTTCAAAGAGTTGACGTTGAGCAGAAGAATGTGAATATTCAAACTAAAATTCTATCCCCTCATAAAATAAACTCTGCATGCACTTAGCCTCCAAACCTTAAGCTGAACACACCTCTAGCAGAGCAAATTTTACCAGTAAATGGCTAGAACCGTCAGTATACGTTCTCAGTGTATCAGAATAAAAATAAAACTCTCAGCTGCCCTCAAACCCTTCCTCCCACCACCCTTCCACACCTGTTTTCAAGCTGTGGGGTCAGGATACTCAGTACTTAAAAATCACAGCTTTTTGTGAAAATATGCAGGCTCCTACTTTCATCAGATGCTGCTTTCCAAACAAAAATTTTCTTAAAAATCTTCTCCTGGAAGAAAACCTTTCTTTGTATAGTTGTGCCCTCTCCTGGTGAAGGTTTCTAGACAACGTACCAAGGAATGTATATTTAGACTCTTCTTTTATGTATAGTTAAGTAGGCCTTTAAAATGCAGAGGTATATGTTTACTTTTTATATAAAATTAATCATCTCACTCCTTTAGTTTTTGAGCTACATGTTGAACAAATCAATTCCTGTAAGTCAAAGTTGAAGAACTTACTAAGACCTTGTATTCATTTTCCCTCTCCTTCCTTCCCTCCCTCCCCTCCCCTTCCCTCTCCTCCAGGAACTAGAAAATATCATCAGTCAGATGATGCATGTGGCAGAGTACCTTGAATGGGACGTCACTGAACTTAATCCAGTAGGTATAGGAATGATTTAACTGTTGGCTACATTCTAGAAGACCCCTTTCTCTTTCATCTTTTTTGCAATCCTAATATATTACTGGCATTTGATTTTTAAAAAATTTTTTATTGGAGTATAGTTGATTTACAATGTTGTGTTAGTTTCAGGTGTACAGCAAAGTGCATCAGTTATACGTATACATGTATCCACTCTTTGTTAGATTCTTTTCCCATATAGGTCATTACAGAGTATTGAGTAGAGTTCCCTGTGCTATACAGTAGGTCCTTATTAGTTTTCTATTTTATATATAATAGTGTGTATATGTCTTTTGATAACTCTAAATTACTATTTCTAATCAATAGCTGAAGTGGATTCTGAACAAGAAAAAGTATATGTGGTTTTCTGAAGCCCTTAGTAATAATAACTTTTGCTTTTCTTCCTCATGGAAATTAATTTGCATGGTAGTCTAATATAGGTGTAGGTGAACAGAAGCTGCTGATGACACTGCTAAGGTCATACCATGCCACAAAAAAGTCAGAACTGACATGTTTTTTATGATCGCCATGATTTTCCTTATATGGAAATAGCTAAAATATTCAATCTAAAAGAGGATGAGGGCGATTAAGAAGACACTAATGATGGTTTACTATGCACAGTGCACTGTTATCTTTGCATATGTGTTATTTAAGGCTCATAACTCTACAAGGTAGATACTACTATTTTATTCATTTTACAGATGAGGAAATTGAGACCCCCAATTTTTTTTCATTTATTTTATTAAAGTATAGTTGCTTTACAATGTTGTGTTAATTTCTACTGTACAGCAAAGTGATTCAGTTATATATATATATATATATATATATATATATATATATATATATATATATAAAACTATATTCCCATTTGGGGAATATAGAATGTGTATATATATATATATACACATTCTTTTTCAAATTCTTTTCCATTCTGGTTTATCACAGGATATTGAATATAGTCCCCTGTGCTATACAGTGGGACCTTGTTGTTTATCCATTCTATATATAATAGTTTGTATCTGCTAACCCCAAACTCCCAATCCATCCCTCCCCACCCACCTCCCCCTTGACAACCATAAGTCTGTTCTCTATGTCTGTGAGTCTGTTTCTGTTTTGTAGATAAGTTCATTTGTGTCATATTTTAGATTCCACATATAAGTGATATCATATGGTATTTGTCTCTTTGTCAGGCTTACTTCGCTTAGTATTATAATCTGTAGCTCCATCCATGTTGCTCCAGTGGCATTATTTCATTCCTTTTTTGTCTGAGTAATATTCCATTGTATATATGTACCACATCTTCTTTATCCATTCCTCTGTTGGTGGACACTTAGGTCACTTCCATGTCCTGGCTATTGTAAATAGTGCTGCTATGAACATAGGGGTGCATATATCTTTTCGAGTTATAGTTTTGTCTGGATATATGCCCAGGAGTGGGCTTGCTGGGAGGCCCCAAAATGTTAGTTACTTGCCCAAAACTCTGCAGCTAGTTAAAGATTGAGCTAGGAAACTTTAATCAAATTGTTTCAAGAAATAGTATCTAACAATGCCTATAAGAGCATTAAAAACCTCTTATTTTCAATAGATTTATACCAAAGCTACAACATTATTCAAATGTGTATTAAAACAAACATGATTCGCAACTTTTACTTTGGCCACAGGAATATTTGGGGGGGAATATTATTGATTTTAGTTTCTCTTTGAAACCAACTAAGTTTAGCATATTGTATATTAATTAAGTAAATACAAATCAATTTTATGTAAATGGTTTACATTTTGTATGAATTCAAAGAGCCTATTTAACCATATAAATTCACATTTATGCAGTCAACAGCAAGGTAATGGCATGATTATGAGATAGGAGAGGTCTGATAGCTTTTCCCTTGCTTTGCAAACTAATGCGGTTAAAGTACAACAAAGTCAATGCGATGTCATGGAAAGGGAGAGCACCTTTCTTACTGGGATTAGGATTTTCCAAGTTTTAACTCAGCTGATTTTTCTTTTTCCTTTTTTTATTTTTGAACATGGAAACACACATGCTGTGCACATGATGAGTGGCGGGTATCATTAACAAAATTGCAGTATGCATATGGAATAGTAAAGTAGATGGTAACGTATTTAATTCTAAGAATACCGTTTGATTCATCTTAATACTATTTTCACTGAAATCAAAGGACTCATAAGTTCTGCTGCTTTTTCTGGTTATGTTAATGTAAAACACAACATTGTAAATGTAAAAGATACATGCACTTTTATGTTCATGTGAATATAATTCACCTATCAATCAAGGCTCTTGTCCTCACTGGAGTAATAGAGGGAAGGGGGTCTTTTTCAATCAGCTTGGAGCGCAGAAGGAGGCACCACCACATCACCATATTTGGCGGTGGGGGGTTTGAGAAAAGAGGGATCTGGATGCTCTAAAGAAGGAACAGTTAGTGGTTGGGCAGTCTAATTAGGACAAATACCTACTGGAAAATACAAATAAAAAGCTATATAGCATTATTAGTCATTTGTGACACATACTGACAAGTCTGCCCTTTCTGTGGACAGTATAAAGAGTAAAGATAAAAGACGGCTGTTTGCTGTCATAGTAACTGCCTCATCCTGCCTGATGATTCAGCAGCTCTCCCCATTTTAAACACATGTGTACATTTGTACACGTTGTCTGACTCCTGGTAAGTTTGCATAATAACTAAAGAGAATTGTACATTTCAGGTTGATGGCTCAGGGTAGACTGAGATGCCCTCGAAGGGAGTTTTTAAAAACTAACCCAGGTTCTACCATTAGATTTATTAAGTACAGTGTGAAAGTATCAGCCCTCTGAAACAAACACTCTGTGTTTTACTTCTCTCCTCATTTGTTCATTTCTGCTAGTTCATCAGAGCGTCTTCAAGGGGGAGGGCCTTTTAATGAGACCTTATACCATTTTGCCCAATTCTAAATGATTTCCCTTGTCTTTCATTTTGAGTGTGATGAAATAATTATTTCAACATCACTTTTTTCCAAAGAGTCTCTTTCCGCTACCTATAGATAAGTTTGTTTCAATGAAGGAAAATGATCTGATTTTCAAAAACTTGCTGAGGAAAGACACCAATCCACTAAGTTCAGGGATGTTGAGGCAAATAATACTTCTGTCCACATATCAAGTTATTCCATTTATTGCACCTTTTCAAATTTTTCTTCTAATGCTCTCTGTACTTCTTTCTTTTTTCAAGTTGATTAAAAGCTCCACATTAGATAAATGTGGTGAGTTACTTCCTTCACTGCATTCTACCATGTTTGCCACTTTGGTGCCATTAGATGGGAGGTACTTTGCCTTCCCAGCAGCCAGGGGTAATATGTTTGGGTAATATATATTAGCAAATATAATTTCTGCTAATATAACACTAACAACACCTATATTACACTTACTATATATGCTAGACACTCTTCAAAGATACTTATAATGTATTAGCACCTTTGACCTCACAGCAACCCTTCGAATTAACAGCTAATATTAGCGCTGTGCAGCCGAGAGATAAATATATTACAAACAGACACTACGGAGAACACTTTAGGACACTCTGTGCAAGTCTTCCTTAGAAAAGAAATCTAATCAAAAAATTATTTGATTGTTTAACTTCTTGGCTCCATTAAGTTCTGATAGGCAGTTAAAAGCAACTTAATTCCTCTGCCCCACACCACTTAGCGAAGAATTATTTCAGCTCTTTGCCGTGAAGTTAATTTGGTCTGTCATTGTCTGGCATATATTTGAATTTTTTAAAGTAATCTAGAGAAAGCAATTAAAGATCACTTTCATGCTTAGAGATACCTTCCTGTTTTAGCTGTACCATCCAGTGACAAAATATTAATAAGTTAAGCGTTTATTTATAAAAGCTGATCAGTGTAAGTAGTCAGGGTTTTGAAATCATAGCAAAGCTACTATATGCTCAATAGGATTAACATGGTACCGAGTTATTTAGATATTTACCTCAACTCTCTACTTAGCTGCTGGTCACAGTTTATCATAACCAATTCAGTGCAATACTTTGTTGTGTCATATGAAATTTATCTTACTGATTTATTTCAAGTTTTTCCTCATCTCCTCTTCTCCAGATCCTTCATGAAATGATGGAAGAAATTGACTATGATCATGATGGAACAGTCTCTCTGGAGGAATGGATTCAAGGAGGCATGACAACAATTCCACTTCTTGTGCTCCTGGGCTTAGAAAATGTAAGCATTTACGGAGAAGGGGTGGCCTGGTGGTAAGTCAGTGGGGTTCTCTTTTATACATTTTGATTATAAGTTCATCTGGCTATTTTCTACCATTAAGTATATAGTGAATGCCTGCTTCTAATACGTATGTCACAGTACAAGTTGACAATAACTCCTTGTATAGTAATACTTGCCACGAATATATTAATTCTTTTTAGGTATTACCGTATTATTTAATACATAATCTCTCTCTTTTTTCCCACTATTTAAAGTGCAATCTTGTTAAAAGAAAACATTGACCTTATTTTATCTAATGCAAGAAACATCCCAGTATTATTGCATTCTGTGCTCCCCCTCCTCATGAAGATGATCTATTTTATTAATAACCAAACCCATACTTGGGGGAGCCAATTATATATAGAGGTGGTTGAGTATATATGCGTGTGTGTGCGTGTGCGTGTGCAGGTGTGTGTGTGTGTGTGTGTGTGTAAATGTTTTCCTTACATATCAACAGTCTGTCAAAGTTCTTCCTTCTAAGCCTGTCGAAGTTTTCTTATATCATTGCCTCCAGTGGTAATTAAAACTGGTGGTTTGGGGAATAAAGTAGATCAATATAAGATCAGAATGTGATATGATAGTGACTTAGAGTCCAAATCTTGCTGCCCCGGCTTCGTGTGAATTTTAGTTATAGTTAATTTAAAAATCCAATGAGTCAACGCTAGATTTTTATACTTAGCTTAATAAATAAGAATTAACTATAACATGAGTATAGTAAAATTTATACTTAGATTCAAAGAGTATTACTGATGGAGAGCACCCTGACACACAGAATATTTAGAGTTTTGAGATGCAAGAATGTAATGTCCACCACTTTGCCGCTGACCTCCACATTTTTCATGCTTCCTGTTACCAGCAATAATGATTTTTCAGATTCAAGACTATACCACAGTTACTCAAGACACCAATTTTTTTTAAAGACAGTTCTCAAGAGATCTTGCAGTCTGTGTTTGTAAAACATGTGAGAGTATATAAAAATAGGTTTGTACATATTTACATATGGGTTTGGGAATATACAAATGGGTTTCAGATGGTAGAATTTGTCTCCAGTTCACCTGGATCTTCAAATTCGTTTACATTCAGGTTAATCTTAGCCTTCATGAGGCCCATGGGATTTTAGACATGGTCAGAGGAAGGAAAAGAAAAATTACTAATAGGTGATAAATAGGAAATTACCCTTAAAGTAAATAATTTATTAAAACAAAGTTAATATAGACCTTATTGTTAATAGATACATATTTCTACATTTTACAAATTAATGAAGCAATACTTCCTGTATCTGATGTTCTTATACTATACATAACCTAGTATCTTTTGTAATAACTTACTATATATCTCTGTATCATAAATATGTGTTTATTGTTTAATATACCTTCTGTCAAAAGCATATGTAAATTAGACTGTTGGGAGAAAACAGAAAGAAAACTGACTAAATGTTAACTTTGTAAGGTTTGGTGTATATTCTATACTGAAAAATAGTTGACAAATGACTATTCAAGAAATTCTATTGATAATGGTTCCCAAAGGGAATTTTATATTTTTAAAGATAAAATGTTTTTATTCTAAATATTTATGGAAATTCTTGTATGAGAGAATGAAAGAAGTAAGTAAATCATTTGGTAGTTGAGATTGGACAGGAAAGTACAGAAATGGAGATATAGTCATCTATATTTTTAATATCACAGAAAGATTTTGAAACAATGTTTTCTTTTGGAAAATATTACTTAGAAATTCTTTAGTTTTATTCATAAATACATATATTTGTGAAATTATGAAAATAGCATTGGTAAATATAGTCCACAAATCTATGTGGATTTAACTAAAAATATTTTAAACAAATACAATGTACCTCATCAGTTTCTAGTGTAGCAGTAACTTTATTTCAACGGAATGACAATTCTTTGCCATTAATGTCCATCAGGTTAATGATACATAATTTACTTTATATTCATATTCTTAGATTTATATTTTATGTTTTTCGTTAAAAGATTTTTTTTTGGAGCTAATAGGAGAAATCGATTCAGGGTTTCAAAGAAACTCAAGCTGTGTTCCAAAGTTGTGTTCCCAGTGATGGCCACTAGATGGCAGGGCTACATTATTTAACATTTGTAGATCAACTTGGATATGAGATTGGATGGTTCCCCTGTGAAGAACAATTCTGAGAGTATTTTCTTCACTTCTTAAAAAAAGAATAAGTCAATAATGTTTTAAAAATTGACTTTTAATAAAATGGAAAATCTATGTAATTATGATCACAAATCAGAACATCTATTTGTTAAAAACAGCTTTTTAATTCCCAGGCATGGTATGTGTTTTACAAACCAGTAATGACACAATGACAACTGAATGATGAGGGCCTTTTTTAGTAATTGAGATTTATTTCCTTTTCTGTAGGCAGTAAATGTGTTTTGTTATTACCTGTAGAGAATTTGATTCATGGTGTCATTCCCTCCTACTTCGCCCCCCGCTTTTGCTTATGAGATTGGAAATCTAGAAGCTTTAGGTTGAATTCAGCCATTTATTGTGAGGCCTGTCTTGTTATGTTGTCCTATATATTCTTGTCTATTGTCAATTATGAGCTCAGGGAGTAGATGCTAATTGATAGTGCATGTTAAATACCACAGTGTATTTGAAAGTGACCGTGGTGTATTAGCCCAATTACCCAGATAAGAATATTGCCCTGGGAGAGCAGTCCTCATGTGAAATGTAAGGTAGAGCAGTTGTGAGTTTATTGTAGTTCATTTTTCTCCATCAACAGAATTTTTTAAAGTACTCTGTTTTACCTAATACCCATTGTGGTGCTAGGATCAGAATTGTAGTTTATCAGAACCTAATTCTTTATCAAATGCTAGGGAGTAGAAGTCATTTCCTTTCTCTTACAAGAAGTCCTTCACACTTCATGAGACCCAGTATGAAATGGTATAGTCTCTTACATCTGAAGTAAAATCGAGTGTTTGGGTGGCATATGTGATTTTGATTACAATGAAAAATTTATGCCTGAGACTTACTCATTCTTCCTTCAGCATTCGTCTCAGTGAAGAATTGCTTTTTAAAAAAATCTTATTTTGAAGGAAAATGATTTTCTTTTTTAAATAACTGTATCTAGCAATAAACTCTGCTCTAGTGATTGGCAAACTTTGCCTGTAAAAGGACAGATAGTTAATAGTTTAGGCTTTGTGGGTCATAAGGTCTCTGTTGCAACTTCTAGACTCTGCCACTACAGTGCAAAAGCCACCACAGACACCACCTAAATGACAGCAGGGCTGTGTTCCAATAAAACTTTATTTACAAAATAGATTGCTGGCCATATTTGACCCAAGGACCATAGTTTTGCTGACCCCCAAGTTATTCTGTCATTAATCTGTCATACAAACAGAATGAGTGTTAACTGTTTTAAAATTATCTTGGAAAGAGAAATCTGATTTTTTTTTTTTCAATTTAGCTCAATTAGACCACCTCAGCAAGACATGACTAATGAAGAGATAGTAGAGTGTCAGTGAACGTTATCAAATTGGCCTTCACCCTGGCTTGATTATTAACTAACTAGGTCACTTTTTTGCCAGTCATCTTATCTGGACATGTAAAAAGAAATTAGTCAGGAATATCACTTTCCTTTCCTGATATTCTCTCAGTTCAAACATTTGTTTTCCTCGATGAACAGGATTAATTAGTAATGCTCCAGTTCCTGAAATCTGTAATCTTGGATTATTATTAGGTTTTTCAAGGAAAATTCCTGAATTCATATTATCATAAAAACAGGAATGCACATTTAAATAGGAGCCTGGCTTAAAATAAGGATACCTTCACTTCTTAGCGTTGGATTGTTGGGCCCAAATCTGGCCTGTATGATTTTTGAAAGGTTATGTATGTTGATTTCACTATATGTTCTCAGAGTCCTGGTCTTTAATCCCTATATATAGTTTAAACTTTGCCATTGATTGAAATGTTTTAGGATACAGTTTTTTGCCTGATTCAATAAAGTAGAAGTCATTCTTTGGTTTGCTTCCTGATTTCTGATGAAATGTGTCCCTTGATGAGTATGATGGAAAGCAGAAGATGATGTATTCTTAATAGACTAAGCTATATTTGGAAAACTAATGTTTCACACTCTATTTTTTAAAATTTAATTTGATTAAGATGTTGTTCTGCTGTTTGCACAATCTAGAAAGGAGTTATGAAGCTGGATAAATGCAACAATTCTTGAGATTCCACACTGGGTCATTCAAGGAAAAGAACCACGTGATGCTGCTGACAGTTGAAATGGCATTTGAACCTTAAGACTATTAGGGTCTGAGCCTGACTTCAGAAAGTGGGATCTGGAGATGGGCAGCTGATTGCAGCTCCACTCAGAATTTTAAAACTTCTTTCTGCATTCTCTTTCCTCAGGCTTGATATAGTTCATCTTTTTGTCTAAAAGAACAGTTTCTTTCATATCATTATAATTTTGGGGAGACCTTGAACAGAAAAGTAAGGTAATTTAACGGCACTTATTTCTTGAGTTGGAATCCATGTGCGACCTTAGCTCTTCTACGTGTCATAAGTGAGGTCAGTTGAAACAGGGACCTGGCTAGGCAGGGGGATGGGAGCATTTTGGCTGTGACATCAGTGAAATTTCTCCTTGAGGTCCTTCGAAAAAAATGATATTATTTATAACAGCCCTAGTTCACTTGAACACTGTCTGCAATCTTTGAGGTATTTACAGAAAAAACTAATACTTTAGAAATCACTAAGATAATGAAATAGTTTTCAGTATTTTCCAGAGAGCATTCGTCCCTTCAAAGCCTCCTTTTGACTTACAAGGGATTAGAAGGCGAGGAAGACCCTGGCACTCCCTCTCTGTGTTAATTTGCCTGTGTTTCATTAAACGTTTCTCTGACACATGCACAGAACTGAACTGCTTCATTATAAAATACAGTGTTTACTAAATATCAGGAATAAATTTTCATTAAGAGTAATGTCTGGTAATGAAAAAACCAGTAGAACACAACTTTTATGAAATAAAGTATCGTAAACCTACCAACATCCTTCTCACATCTTTTGGCTGAAACACTGGGATGTTACACAACTCAACCCAATGACGGTAATAATATTTGCTGTTTATATAACACCAGTCTTCTGAGGAGCTAAATTGATTTCACAGGTATTGTATAATGAAACCTCACACCATGGCCTGGGTGAGGAAAGTGGTTACTTTCATTTTATTAGAGAGGAAAATAAGAAAGGTGAAATGGCTTATCCACATTTTCATCAGAGGCCAGGAATCAAGCCTTCCAGATTCCCTCTTCATTGCTTTTTTATAAAAATGAATTCCTCTCTATGACAATAAATATTTATTTGCAGTGGAAGTACTAAGAGGCGTATGCTTTACTGGCTGATAGAATATAGTAAGGGACAGAGTCTCCCCCTTCCCCAGTAAGTTTACCATCTAAATAAGACAAACAAGACAAGACATGAAAATACATAGCGTTGGCGTTTAATTTGCGCTGCTTAGAAGTAGTTGGCTCCTGGTTTCAATTTCTTCTCTTGAAGTCACATACATATTTCATCCTCTGAATATTCTGGCAATGTATCCGGCTAAGAGCTATAAAGTGATTTAATTTGTTTTTTGGTAGAGCATTTTATGTCGGGGTAATGGATTTGTGCATCAGTGGCAGCCTGTAACATGGCTAAGTGTTCTGATTGACAGAACACCCACGTTCAGACTTGTTTATTTTTTGATAAGGAAAATGCCAGCTAACTTAGTCCATATGTGCTCTTCAACAAGAGAAGGCTTATTCACATGTAATGGACACTCATTTAAAAATAAAATGACAAGGCTTATGAGAACAGTAATACATATGAAAATTAGATTTTCTTTTCTCCTTTTCACTTAAAAATGTCTTTTTAAGCATTAATCTAATTATTTAAACTAATACTTAATGCTAACTTTATCAATATGTTAAAAAAAATGAACCTCTTTAACTTTTAACATCAGGGTATCTTACTCTTATTTGAAGGAATAGAAATTTTAAAACATAGTAGTTTGGAAGCTATAGCAAATTAAACAAATATATAAAGCATTCCATTCACATAATAAAGATACTAGAAATCATATGACTTGAGCAGACCAGAACTGGATTCAGAAATTACTATAAAATCTATTTCTTAAGCTTTGGAAAAAAAAACCTGAAACACCATTGTCTTCTGATGTCCCCTCCATGGCACCTTCTGCAGAAGTGCTTTTGCTGAGAACTTGTTAGTTCTTTGTCAGGAAAATGAAGCTGAGCATTGTCAAGAACCATGAAGGGTCTGAGAGTTACCCTACCTGCAAGTGAACAAGTGAGCTTGCCACAGTTCCATGGGTGCTGGCAGAGGACATGAATGCCTGGGTCAGAAACAAAAACTTGTTTACTCACAGCAAAGAAGCAATAGGAGCTTCACATCTGAGCTAGTTCTCCTGGCCCATGAAGTCTCTTAGGGGTGATGGAGAGAGGTCCAAGTAATTGCCTTGCACAGCATCAGAGCTCAGAACCCCTGGCTTGGGGAAACTAACTCTTTTATAATACGCAGTAAACAAACTTGCTAAACCTTTGCTTAGAAGGGAGAAATTATCTTTATTACACCAGACAGTAAGGAAGCCTGCCCTCTGCACATCTCTGTTGTGCAAGGCTGTATGTTATTCAAACACCTTTGAAAAGATAACTTGGAGAAAAGGACAGTTCTTCTGCTTACAAAATGTGCAGAAATTCAAGAGACCCATGGAGAATTATCTCCCAGAGCATTTTCATTAATGTTTCATATTATGATGCAAATTTGACATTTCTGGTTCTAATGTAGGAATTAGTTACTGTGGATTCAATTGGGTACTTCAAATCTGGTGGTTTATCTCTTGATAGGGAATAGGAAAAAGTAGTTAGGAAGCATTATTATTAATATTTTATTATCCAGAGAAACAAAATGATCTGGACATGTTTATACTGTCTCACTACCACAGAATTTGTATTAGTGCCCCAGCACATAATAGGTGCTCAAAAAAGTATTAGCTCAACGTGTTCTAAGAAGTATGGCAACTTGACTAACCTAAAAAACCATGACCTGCAGTGGTTTCTATAGAATACCAATAAATGATGTCTAAAATTAATCTGAGTTTGATATAGTTTGGTACATGATGTACAAGGACTACATGTTAATACAGAAAATGATGGTAATAAAAGTAATGATGTATAATAACTTCATTTAATAGCTTCACCTCCTTGTAAGGAATCTTAAGCAGCATATTATTTCATTTTACTTCAATGTATCTAATAGAGAATAGCTATTATAATATTATATAGAGTTTTACTTAGAAGAATAAATAATAATTACAGTCGTTTTGCTAAAATGTGAATTAATTGAACTCAAGGATTTATTGTGGCAAATAATGGTAGAGACTGTTATAAGTAAATACAGTAATATAGTTTTAATATTTTTGCCATCTTTCCATGAGATTAAAATCATTCATATTTTGTAAAAGAGAAGTAAAATAATAATGTAATTAGAGCCTCATAAAAGTTTATGTTTTTAAATTTTCTATTTGAGACATACAAAAATATATTAGCGTCAATTATAACATATAAGGAATCCCCCAACTGAAGCCTTAGAATATCATGAATAACTTACTTTTAAGTGTCATTCTTTCCCATCCCATCCCACCCTTCTACCTCCTTATAAGAGCTAACCAACATCATGAAATTTGCATATTCCTACCATTAAGCAAGGGTTAACATATTCTGTCAAGGTTTTCATCTCTCAGAATCTTCCACTCAAGAGTATTTTCTCTTCCTTTATTCACTGATTTGTTTATGGAATTGTGCTAGGAGTAAAGTATACAGAGGTGAGGCAAACACGCCTCTGTTCTGAGGAGTGCTCAGTTTGGCGGACGGTTATGATGGTTGGGACCTGCTGTTGAACTGTTGATATTAGGCAAGAATTTGTGGGTTGCTATAGCATCCGATATTTGTTAGCAGGATCTCATTCCACTAGAGCACATGTGGTTTTCTAGACTCTGTGGCAATCTTGGAGAAAGTCAGAGATGAAATAACAGATTGTCTTCAAATGCTTCAGTCCAGCTCTGAATTTTATTGGCACTTACATATTCCACTGTTTACTTCATTAAGTGAAATCTTTTTCTCTTGCGTCCCGTGCAGAATGTGAAGGATGACGGACAGCATGTGTGGCGACTCAAGCACTTTAACAAACCTGCCTACTGCAATCTTTGCTTGAACATGCTGATCGGCGTGGGGAAGCAGGGCCTCTGCTGCTCCTGTGAGTATGTTTGCTTTGCCCGGATGTCATCACCTCTGGTGAGAAGCGATTGATTTCGTGGAATAGTCCTATTTGTAGACGGAGTTAAGAAATCACCTGACCCTTCCCGTACCTATGATGTATCTTTCCCTGAAGTATGTTTCTGAAGGTTTAGATCACTCTAGTTTTAACTTTCTTCAATTTTGGAAAACCTTCTTCTTGGAAAAGAAATAAGGACATTTCCCAATTCACTAGCCATTTTCTTTCCACTGTAGTTTAATTTATTCATGGTTCCCATTTCTTCTGGGAGTATTATGAAAATATCCATTGGTCTCTCATATTTATATCTTATGCATATTTGTCTTTTTTCCCTCCCTAAGTTATCGCTTTATTCACATTGTCTTCCTATTATGAGCTAATTCCTTTCAGTCTTTTAAAGATAATTGATTATCAGTTTCCATTCAAACTAAGAAATCACAAGGAATACACACTAATCTTATACCTCAGGCACATGATTCTTAATTCTATAATGAAGAAAATCTAATATATGGTTAATGGATATTAGAACCCAAAGTGTTGCCAGTTCATGAATTGTGGCCATTATTTTTATTTCGGTACACTTATCTTTACAATATTTATTTTATTCTATGGCGTACTTTCTGGTAGTATACGTAACAATTTATAAAAGGCACTTAAGAAGTTTTAAATAAACAACATGTATACCTGAGGAACTTTTGCATTCCCTGATGCCTCTGCTAAAACAGAGGGAGGGCTCCCCTGGTGGCGCAGTGGTTGAGAGTCCGCCTGCGGATGCAGGGGACACGGGTTCATGCCCCGGTCCGGGAAGATCCCACATGCCGTGGAGCGGCTGGGCCCGTGAGCCATGGCCGCTGAGCCTGTGCGTCCGGAGCCTGTGCTCCGCAACGGGAGAGGCCACAACAGTGCTCTCACTGTTGAGAGAGAGTCTCCCGTGTACCGCCAAAAAAAAAAAACAGAGGGAATATTGAGTCCTCCTCACTAAAGTGTGACTTTGTCTTGGTCCAGCACGTTGTCCATCCACGCCCTTTTCTGCAGTGTATGGAGTTACTGAAATTGTCAAGTTCATTAGACATATCCCATTTTCGCGCATTTATATTAAATCTAATTTTTACCTGGCTTCCATATAATACATAATTTTCAGATATTATTTTTAGCTAACAGCTTCTTTGGTAGCATATTTGGGAGTTGCCTTTCTCTCAGATGTTTTATTTTACATTAAAAACCATATAGTAGGTAGACTTTTAAGTGATTTCTTATGTGTTTAAGGATTTTAATAAAGTTACATAAAATTACCTCACGCCGCTTTAGAGGGTAGTTTCTAGTGGCCACATTTAAAAGGCTGTTTATACCAGAACATTCTCCATGTACAAAGGAAGCAATTTGTTTTCAAAGTTTTATTATTTTTAAGGAAAATAATTTTTCATGGTACTGTCTATTGATGGGAGCTTATGAAACAAAATGGTAATTCTCAAATAACATGGGCAATATCATATAAGAGTGAGAACCTTGCTCACAAATTTTAACTGATTAGTGTGCAAATGTAACACTCAACATTATTGCCAATATGGAAGAGAAGAGAAACTGCATTTTCTTCCTCAGTGTTGCCAAAGGAAATCACAGAAGTGGTTGTTTGGGAATAGTTTTACTATATAAATATTATATTTTCATTCTAACTTCATGCAGTGGTCAATTTTTGTTTGTTATATTGAGAGAGCTGCTTGGTTGTTTTTTACTTAATTTTTATTCTATGTATTTATGCATTTAGAATTCTTAATTTGAAACCAGTGTTTTATTAAAGAATATCTGTATATGACCCTGAGTTATATTGAGAATCAAGCCATGAAGTAATTTAAAGATGCCAATAAAGTGTACGTGTTGGTTTTTTATATACATTATATGTTTTATATACACACACATATATGTTTGTACATGTGTTTCTATACATATTTGCAGATACATATAAAATTTTGCATATATATATATATATACAATATGCTGCCCAGCAAAGGTTGTTCCTTTTGGACAAACAGTGCCACGATGGCAATGAGGGATGAAGTTTAACTGAAGGCCTGGCATATGATGAAATCTATTCTCTGGAAATAGACTAATCAGCCATTTAAGGTTTAGATAAATCAATAGACAAAATAGCATAAACTCATGGGCTTTTATTCCCATGCCTGCCAGCTGCTCTCATGCCTATACTTTGTAAAATATAGATCTCTTCCTTCTAGCAAATGACACCAAGCCATTTGGCAGTCATCAATTTGTCTTTAGTATGTTTGTCATCTGGGAATTATTGTGAAAAATTTGAGTGAGGCCTGATTTAATTAAGCATTTCCTGCTATTGCCATGATAGAGGAGTCTTGGTTCTTCACATGCATAATATTTCCTGTACTAATTGGCCTTTTGTATTCCATGGTAAAAACAGTCGAGTTGGACTTTTCCTTGATGTGGCTGATTGGATTGATTAGGGAGCAGTGGCTATGAAACGAGCTTCTGTTAATGTCATTCTTTCTGTATAAAATTGCAATCAGGACCAGGATTAGCTCTGAATTTGCGTACATGTTTCCTTTCAGTTTGCAAGTACACAGTCCATGAGCGCTGCGTGGCTAGAGCACCTCCTTCTTGCATCAAGACTTACGTAAAGTCCAAGAAGAACACTGATGTAAGTGTGTGGCCATGCTTGCCTTTTGAGGGTGGTGTTTATGGATGCCTCCTCTTACCACGGTGCTTCTGTTGTGTTCTAGGTGATGCATCATTACTGGGTTGAAGGCAACTGCCCAACCAAGTGTGATAAGTGCCACAAAACGGTTAAATGTTACCAGGGCTTGACAGGACTGCATTGTGTTTGGTGTCAGATCACAGTGAGTAACATCGAAGGATAAATCTCTAGCATTCACTCACGATGAAGATGGTATATCCCATGTTCTCTGATGAGTCCTATCCTGGAAGGCCATTCTGAATTTTAGACTAAGTCCAAGTTAGCATAAATTCGTGGGGGCCTCTTATAGCATGTGTGGCTCCCCAAGGGATAAATGTCAAGGTCAGATTTGTCCTCACAGAATCGAGAATTTTAGAGCTAGTGACAACCTTAGAGGTAATACTGTCATAAGGTGTTCAATCTGTACTCCATGGAGTTCTAGGAGCTGCCAGGAAGGTGACCAGACACCATGGCTGTGGGTGGGCAGTGAGCCTGGGATACTGATCGGGTAGAGCTCAGCTATCCCTCTGCCCGAAAACACTATTCTGGTAAAATTTTCTATTCTACGTGTTCTAAATTTATTCCAATCATAGAATCTATGGGCTTAAAAAGGGTAGCACAATGAATAATATGGTACAAAGACTTAATTTTATAGTGAGGACACTAAGACCAAGAAAAATCTATGCAAATCATCAATGACCACATGACTAGGTAGAGATGCAGGTGGTCCATATTTTAGATCTTGGTGCTTCTAAGAACTCAGTTAAGCCTTCTTTACAACATGGTGTTGCCTTGCTCCTTTAGTTAATTATCATAAGTTGAGGGATAACAGATAGGGATGTAAACGCTAGTCATTAATGGTATTGACAGTCGAGAAAGGAGAGGTTCCTTGGTCTTTCCCAGGAAATCTTAGCACTCTACCTAGTTTGCTTAATTGTCAAAGCTGCTTCAAGTAACTTCTGGAATAAATGCAGTTGTTAGATGGTACCTCTAGTGTTTCATGTTGTACTTCTGGAAATTAATTAGAACGCACATTTTTAAGAATAGCCAGTTTTTACAGTTTGGTCCAAAAACGTTTATGGGGCTGGGTTTTTTCCCCCATCAGTTGTGTTTTCTTTTTACAGCTAGTGTATGAGTCATCTTGTTACAGGGCAAATTATTCTTGCTTTTGTGGGAATAAAACGGTAGGGAGCGTTGTTTCAGTTAAGCAGATACGTTTCTCTGTAGTGCCCCTCAACACGCCTTCCCAACACACACGCCATTTAAAAATTTTTCTTAAACACACACACACACATACACACAGGATAATGAGAAAAACAAACTGTGACTTGCATTTCAAAAGTACAATTAAGTACTTTTTAAAAATGAACACATTTTCTTCAATCATTTTCAGCTATTACTCGGTTAAATTATATTTACATTTGAAATTTCCTCAATTATGAAAGACAGTTTTATTTTTTTGAAGTATTTGGTTATTGTAATAAAGCGTCTAACAATGTTTTAAATTACACATAGAAATTACTTAAACATGTTGAGTTCTCAGTTTTAAGAAGACCAAAACTATTTCATTTTTTAAAAAATTTGGGCTGTTAAAAAATATTAGTTTTCTTTTTTTTTTCTTGCTAAGCATCTATAAAAATATTTCGGTTTTATTTCTGATCTTATAGGAGCCCATTCCTCTTACTTTCCCCATAAAGTGCATCTTTCATTAATTATATCTTTACTATAAACTGAAGTTAGAGAATATCAGAATTTATTTCTTCGTTGTATTTCAAGTTATTTTGCCATCCTTCATACATTTCTTTTTTTTTTTTTTTTTGCTGTACGCGGGCCTCTCACCATTGTGGCCTCTCTCGTTGCGGAGCACAGGCTCCGGACGCGCAGGCTCAGCGGCCATGGCTCACGGGCCCAGCCACTCCACGGCACGTGAGATCTTCCCGGACCGGGGCACGAACCCGTGTCCCCTGCATCGGCAGGCGGACTCTCAACCACTGCCAGGGAAGCCCTCCTTCATACATTTCAAGTGTAATGTTTTAGATCTGTTATTTTCTTTCCTGTTTTTTTTTTTTTGTGGTACGCGGGCCCCTCAATGTCGTGACCTCTCCCATTGCGGAGCACAGGCTCCGGACGCGCAGGCTCAGCGGCCCTGGCTCACGGGCCCAGCCGCTCCGCGGCATGTGGGATCTTTCCGGACCGGGGCACGAACCCGTGCCCCCTGCATCGGCAGGTGGACTCTCAACCACTGCGCCACCGGGGAAGCCCCTCCTATTTTTATTTCTTGAAAAAAAAAACAATGTGTTTAAAGTTAGAACGCTCTAAAAATATGCATTCCTGGGCTTCCCCGGTGGCGCAGTGGTTAAGAATCTGCCTGCCAATGCAGAAGACATGGGTTTGATCCCTGGCCCGGGAAGATCCCACATGCTACGGAGCAACAAAGCCTGTGTGCTACAACTACTGAGCCTATGCTCTAGAGCCCGCAAGCCACAACTACTGAAACCCGCACACCACAACTACTGAAGCCCATGCACCTAGAGCCCGTGCTCCGCCACAAGAGTAGCCATGACAATGAGAGGCCCACACACCGCAACGAAGAGTAGCCCCTTCTCGCCACAACTAGAGAAAGCCCACGCGCAGCAACAGAGACCCAGCACAGCCAAAAATAAAAATAAATAAATTTAAAGAAAATTAAATAAAACTGTGCATTGCTACCTTTCCTAATAGAAAAGCTTTTGGAGATTTTAAGTTTCTTTACTTGACTCCTCTTCTCCTTCCCCCATTTAATCTCTATGAGGTATATCTTCTGCCCTTTTCATTCTATGGGAATCATTCTCCTCAAAGTTACCATTGCTAACGGTCTTATTGATAATCAGGGCATCTTGAGATTTTTTTCTTGTTTTATATTCCATTTTGTTTTTCTTGTTTTCTTTCTTTTGTTTTAGTGGTTCCTCTCATCTGTGACTCCAAAATCTGTATTTCTAGCCCAGGCACTCTCCAGTTACATATTTATATTTGGTCTTGATCCTGTTCCTAGTGTTGTAAGAAATTAGGCCTTTCCTTTTATAGGAAAGAAGGTGCTACCTGTGGATAAACTCTGCTTTTTAAAATCTAAGGATTTCATATCTAATTCAGTTCAGACAGGATGTCACTAACATCTTATTCTTAACAAAAGATCAGAGTGTACATGAAGATGACTGTTTGGTCACTACAGCAAAGCACAATATCAGCTGTAAATGTATTTAAATCCCGAGTTCTACTCAGGACACAGGCTAACCAGGGACCACTGAAGGGTGTAAGGCAGAGTCAGGGAAAAGTGGCTGCCCTCTTACTAAGCTCTCCCAAGACCCGAGGCTTCTGGCTAACTTTAGCCTGATTTGCTGTAAACCGTGATCTCCGGGGTTCCTGTGGGTGTTTGGTTCATGAAACAAGACTTGATATTTTTATATAAGTCCTCATGTATCCAGAAGAATATATATAGCCTTCTTAAAAATAACTTCAGCCTCTGTGCTGTTTTGGTTTTTAATGTTAAGCAATTATAAGACTATATCTATTAATTTATAGATTTTTTTTTTGCCTAGGTTAAACAGAGGATATTTACCTCTAAACATTTATATATTTAGTATAATTATACTTTCTTCCTGAACTATTGTATGAAAATTTTAGTATAAAGTTGATCTGCTTTTGACTGACACTTACACTACTGGTTGCCTTTAAACAAACTGAATCTACTTTCTTATGTCTTAATGCTTCCCAGAAGGTGCTATTAATATAGCAAAGAACTAGCAGAAGTTGCGATGGGATATGGCACCGTCAAAGCTGAGCTTTAGTAAGACCTATCTGAACGGAGTCCGTGAGGAATAGATTGCAGAGAGAAACAAAGATAACGAAACCTGGCTTCGTTTCAGTGGTTTTCCAAATGCCATCACTTCCTTTGTACATATGACTTTTGGAAATGGCTTGAGTTTTAATTTAGTCATAAGTTAGACTGACCAGATTCTTAAGAATGTCTCTGTCCAACCAGTAAGATAGTAGCTGTACAGTCTTGGGCCAAGTATGTAAAAAGCTTTGGCCAGCTTCCTAATTTGTAAAATGGACTTAATGATACCTATTTTGTAAGATTTTTGTAAGAATTAAATGGATTTTTTAAAAAAATGTATGTCATTGTGTTCAGGGAAGGCCCTATACCTACTAGTGCTTATGGAAGGACAATTATTATCATAGTGAAAACTAGCTAAAATGTCATGTGAGGGCACAAAACCCATCCCGTGGCTCACAGAGGGCACTCCATGAATGTTACTCATGCCACCTCTTACTCACTTCTGGAAGGGTCTGTAGTCGCCCAGTCTAAGAATAGCACCTGCATATTCTAAAAGCACCCAGAACCATGTGGTCCCGAATATCACTAAATCCTAGACTAAGCTGATTTATTTATATTCACTAAGAACAGCTATTCCAACTGTATTCTATCAGACATGGTAACATCAGGCTTGCAATCATTGGAAACAGAAGTCAATCTCTTATCCTTGTCTTTCACCTCTATTTCATATATCCAACCTATCTCTGAGACTTTAAGTTTTCCCCTTAAAATATCTCTCTCAGATTTGAGTTTTTTGTCTTCACCATTCACAGCCCACGTGCAGGCTCTTAGCACCTCTTAACTAGATTAGAGTCAGAAATCTTGGCTTATCTCCCTAACAGAAGGTACTTTTCCTATAACACAGGCTGCAAACCACCTCCAGAGTCATCTTCTGAAAATACTAGTTTGTTATCATATGCCACCTTCAGCAACCTATAATAGTCCTGTGATAATAAATGCAGCTCTCACCTCTTCCTACCTCAACCTGGTTTTTACTTCTCCAAATATCCGACCCAAACCTAAGCACATGACGTATATACTAGTCCCCTGTATGCCCAGTCCCTGCTGTAGCCGAGCATGTCTGTTGACAGGCCTCTGGGAAAGCCATGCTTCCCCCCTATTTTGCTTACTCTAGTATTGCCCTGAAGGCACCCACCTCAAATTTTGACTATACCTCAGGAATCAAATTAAGTTCCACATTTTCCTTGAAATTTTCCTTGATAATAATGTTTGCCATTTTCTAAACAGTTTCTAGGCTTTTATTCCACACCAAAGGAAAGACTGAACTGCTGTCCAGCAGTGTCACGTCT